TTTTTATAGTGTTAATAGGTTATTGATACGTTAAATAAAATAGACAAGAGCTAGATTATGGGTGGCTTCCGCTCTGGCCGAGTCTAATAACCTCATGGCCGGTTATCGGGCATCATGATGCTGCTGCTGCTGCCCCAAAATTAAACTTTTCCGGTTGCTAATCAACTATATGGTTTCTCAGCGTAGATTAAAGAATAGTTGGGTAAATTGTTCGTTAGATTATTCGACACGATAATATTTTGCGTCTGCAAAACTGGAATGCACACGCCCCCCGGGGTGAGGCGCACTCCCGTCGGTTCCCCTGTACACTCGACACCGAGGCTTCACCGAGGCCTACAGGCCCCGAATGATAAAAAATGAACAACAGGCGAGGTACTAACCAAAGACCCGGCTGGATGTCAGAAATGTGGAGATAACGCCGACCGACGGAGGCTTTATTGTCGACCTCCTAATCAGACGGAAACAAAACACGAACTCCTTCGCGTCCTAAATCGATTCCCCAAAGCCGACAACAAGGCCGAACCGACTCGCGCAGACAATAAACGAAAGGCTCAAAATGTACCTGTTTCTCTTCCACAGCTGACACCCGGATCACCGCGTCACGTGGTTTATCACAGCCACTGCGGCTTCACGCTATATGCGTGTGTTTGAGGGAAAAGAAAGGATAGATTTGGCTGTTTGGAGAACATATGTGATGGTTATCTGTGTGTGTGCGTGTGTGTACGGAGAGGCAGTGCGCACGCGTACATTCCTGAGCAGTGACGGCAGGATTGCCCTGCTGAGGCCAAGAAGAACAGACTCGGTGTGAGAAAGCTGGAAAGAGACCACTGTATGCTTCCTAAGGGAAATGAGTTTATTACACAACACAATGTTGTCTCTCGTTTGCCTTTTTCCTTTGTTTGTTACACCTTCATGAAGAGGGCATGGTAACTTAAGCTCTGTTCCAAAACATAGTAAGCTGCCTACTTAGGGAGCAATTTAAGGCACTTGTGGTCAGTGTGTCCTACAGGATTTAGTTTTTGAAGAATGGTCTCCATTCCCCCTTTCCAAACCCTGAAATTCAGCTTGGACTTGGTATAAAAACAACAACAATATTGTTTCTAGCTGTTCTCCAAACAACCAAAGTTAAAATACCATTTATTACAATCTAAATACTGTAAATCTTTTGTGGATATGTATTACGCTTACTACACATTGTCATGTGAACAGCAAGTCAGTAATTGAACTGTTTTGTTTTGCTAAGCTTACATCCATGAATATTGGCATTGAAATTTTACTGTTGTTCTGTAAAATAAAATAATAATAGTAGTAATGATAATAGTAATAATTATTATTACTTATTCATTTTTTTTTATTTTGTAGTACAATATTACTATATTACATAACTATATAAATATTTCTTTATTGATTTGTTTTTATAACTTAATAAAATCAAGTTATTATTATAGAAACATTGAATGTTCTATTAAAAAAAACTGACTGGCCTGAAACAGCTGAATTAAGAGTTTTTTGTTTGTTTTTAACTGTTTAAAAAAAAGTATAGGGTTTTTCCTTAAATCCTCATGCTAAAATGTTACATATGTAGTACATCCATCATAGTGGAATCAGTTGAGATATAGATAGAAAAGGCATATACTTCAGTGTAATTAGTTTTTATGTGTGATCTGTATTTTGCTAACATCAAAACTTTATTCAGATCAATTGTGAGAGGCGCCTACTGGTCTCTATTGGTGTGGACAGCCATAATGCTGTAATGCATTACATGCATAATGCCTACAGAGTAAATCGAAGACTAATGGACACATGTTGTCAGATTAAAGCCTCTCTCTTTATGGTCTACATAGGGCACACACACGTCTCATGCACATCACACACAGTTTAGAAGTCAACATGTCTCGTTGTAACTTATTTCCAAACAGTGAGCAGAAGACATGCCACCCTCATAGGGAAGTGTAAGTGTGTGTATTTATAGGGGCATGTTACGGCTGGTCAAGGTGTGTGTTGTGTGCAGGCAAAAAAAACTGACTGGCCTGAAACAGCTGAATTAAGAGTTTTTTGTTTGTTTTTAACTGTTTAAAAAAAAGTATAGGGTTTTTCCTTAAATCCTCATGCTAAAATGTAACATATGTAGTACATCCATCATAGTGGAATCAGTTGAGATATAGATAGAAAAGGCATATACTTCAGTGTAATTAGTTTTTATGTGTGATCTGTATTTTGCTAACATCAAAACTTTATTCAGATCAATTGTGAGAGGCGCCATAATGCTGATTATGTATAGCATTCCAAATCAGTCACTTGTTAGGTTCCAATTAATTCAGGATACAGCTGCCTATGTAAACAAAAGACAGCAAGACAGTTCACTAGATTTGGAACAGAGCTATTATTTCCTGTGCTTTTTCAAGAGCTGTGAAACTCCATTTATTTTTCACAGCAGTCGAAACATCCCCAATATATCAGACCCACTGCGCTTGTGAAAGCAACCTGACATGGACAAGAATTATTTGCCTACAGAGTAAATCGAACACTAATGGACACATGTTGTCAGATTAAAGCCTCTCTCTTTATGGTCTACATAGGGCACACACACGTCTCATGCACATCACACACAGTTTAGAAGTCAACATGTCTCGTTGTAACTTATTTCCAAACAGTGAGCAGAAGACATGCCACCCTCATAGGGAAGTGTAAGTGTGTGTATTTATAGGGGCATGTTACGGCTGGTCAAGGTGTGTGTTGTGTGCAGGCATGTGAGTTCATGTTATGTTTATTTGCAGTGATCTGGATCACAGTCTTGGCCCAAAATTAACCAAATGTGGGTTAAAATTGGCTTTGGCGGGTAAATAGTTGTCAATTTAGATTATTTTGAATTTCAGTTTTATATTTGTTTTCTTTTTAATAAGATGCTAGTTCATCAAATAATTTAAATATAAAGTAAAAAGAAAAGATTCAGTGATTGTCTCATGACACCTAGGCCTATTTGAATAAAATGTAATAAAACAAATTTGTATTGCTCTACACAGTTTGCTTTGGAAAATAATTCTTAATGTTAAACATTAAGATAATTTAAGATATCAAATATATAAATAGCAAAATATATATTGTCTCAAGAAATAATGCATGTAAATATGTATGTGTGTGTGTATGTGTATATATATATATATATATATATGTAAGGGCTGTCAATAGACTAAAATGTGTAATTAATCGCACACTTCATGAAATTAAGCATAGACCATTTATCTTGTTTCAAATGTTTATTTTGTCAATGTTTATATTCAGCAAAGTAAACCAAAATATTTAAGGGTGATTCTCCAAAATCTGTATTTTCTGCAAGCTTTTTTCAAGATAAATATAGATGTCTTTCCAAAAAAGGACTCCAAAAGGAAACACCAAAAGGACACCAAATCGTCTTTACCTTGATTGCAGTCTTCATCTATCAAAACTTTACTAGCGAGACTGGTTATCCAGTCGAGAAACCGTAGTTTGCGTCTCATCTGGCCAGACAGCGGTATGTGTTGACAACTCATTCAGTCAGTACTTCACACAGTGCGTGTGACGTGTGAGGGCTCGCGCTCTTCAGAGACAATCACAGAATATGACAGAGCTCGTGTTTAAAAGCGAAACACACTGGAATGAATAATTCACTGAAAACGCTACACAAGTCTCTGTTCTCTCTGCAATCTCTGATGTAAGCAGCCTGGTTTCCTTTATATTAGCGCTGTTTTGGACGGATTGTTTGAATGCATTCGCTTACTGGATCATTGGACTGAAAACTAATATATATGTTAAAAATATATTTATTATTAATACATATAATTGATGGACTTTAAAAAAAAATTTTTTTTACTAATATTGATTAGTAAGGCAAAGTCGTTAGCACAATGCTAGAATTCCTCCATCCTGATATCTGTTTTGTAGCTGAATAGTCTTGCCAAAATCCAGGTTTCATTTGTAGACTGTATGTCCCAGCATCTGGCCCCTCCTCTAATCCCACTTATCACCGCAACACATACTCACATACTTTAATTCCTTTGTCACCAGTCTCCCTGTTTGTTGTTCAGGGAAGTATGTCAATGTGACACATTTAGCCCCTCTGACCAGGACTAAAACGTTACTTGCAAGGGAAGCCCATGTTTGGCTATTGCGGCTGTCTTTTGATGTCCGTCAATGCCTGTTCCCTCCTTTATCCACAGAGCTGCTTCTCTTCGTCTGCCTCTACCCGACCCATACAAAGCTTAATCCTTAAGCTTTCCATTCTTAGTTTTTTTTGCTTTTGCCTTTTGCACACAATAAATCCTTTCGCAAGCAATGCGGCAACCACACGTCTCTGTGCACGCTCAAGATGAGTGGACGTTTATGGATGAGAGCGGAAAATATAAAAGGCCGCCTCCATGTTGTATTTCCTCTCTCTCTCTCTCTTCCTCCTCCACTTTCATGGTGGCTGTGACCAAGCATGCAACTGCGCCCCCTTGAGTCGATGCGGAGTCACTTTACCCTGTTTGTTGTTTCTACAAAGGTCGAGCACTGTTATTGGACGCGGTTTTACCACACAATCTTCACTTCCCCTCCCATGTCTTACAAAGGACATGTTCAAACACTGATTTCTTTTTCCTTTTAGGGCTAAGGAAACTTTACCCAAACCAACATGTTGAAGCACAAACCTGATCTTTAGTTGTTTATCTATTTAAAAGGAAAGTAACAAGTTATTTTATGTATAGTAGTCCTGTTAACTGAAACCCTTGATGTCTGCAAGAGTGATATCATGCCTCAGGGCCAACCATGGCCTCATCTTTGTTTTATGAATCATAGTTACTCTTTTAAAAGTCACATCCTGTTTACAATACTAGCTGTAATGACCCAGGTTTCGTAATATGTGCCCTGTCTGTGTGTAGTGTCTATGAATGTGCCCCATCACGTTTTTATTGCTCCGTTATATCTAGTGTAAAGTTGATTGTCAAACTTTAAAAGTGATTTTTTTCCCCTCTGTCTTTTTGCAGGCCTTGTGGATGCACTTAGATGTGTGCAATGAGTGCTGTGGCTGACATGCCTCAGTGTTTTGGATTGCTGTGTTCTGGACTCAGTAGGACAAGAGACTCCCAGCACAGCACGTCATGAGCTTAGTCATCCCAGTAGGGGTGGACACGGCAAACACCTCATACCTGGACATGGCTGCAGGCTCAGAGTGAGTTTCTCTCTTTCTCTCTGTGTCCTTTCATATTGACTCATCACTACCGTTCATTTCATTTTGTTCATTCTCTGGTTGCATCAGCAGAGAGAAACAGATTTTTCCACCAACCGCTTCCGTTCTCTCTTCAATCTGCTTCTTTCTCATCAGAAACATGCTCTGCTGCTACGGCATCCCCATAGAAAAAGAAATTATTTTTCAGTTGTAAGAATTACAGAACCTCAGACACTTCTGAGACGGACAGTACACACAGGGCATTAACATACAGACATCTGTTTCCACATCTCACTGAGAGAAAATGCGGGAAAACGTCTCTCACATATGCATTGGTTCCTCCTTATCCCCTTCCTTCCCCTCACCCATCCTTCCCTTCACTCAGCTCACTCAGAATGGTCAATAGTAGAATATAATGTTCTACATGAATGCAGGTGACATTTACAGTTATGTTTGGTATTATTTGAATAGTCTCAGGGCGTCTGGTACAATGATCTCATTCTTACAAGTAAACTAATAGGTGATACAGATCCTAAAAGAGTTTAGAGATATTTACATTTTCATTTAGCAGACGCTTTTATCCAAAGCGACTTACAAATGAGGACAATAAAAACATTTAAAACTAACAAAAGAGCAACAATATATATGTGCAAATGACAAGTCTTGGTTAGCCTAACGCAGTACACGTAGCAATGTGTGTGTGTATATATATATATATATATATACACACACACACACACACAAACAAAGAAAAACAAGTAGATAGAATAGAAAAAATAGAAAGCTAGTGTTTGTTTTTAGTTGTTTTTTTAAATAAATAAAAAAAGATAAATATAGATAAAATAGAATAGAAAGTGTTAGAGTTAGAGGGTCAAATAAAGGGGGAACAGATGTGTTTTTAGTCGTTTCTTGAAGATGGCTAAGAACTCAGGTGCTCGGATTGAGTTGGCCAGGTCATTCCACCAGGAGGGAACAGTTAATGAAAAAGTCTGTGAAAGTGATTTGGCTCACTATAGAGGGTGTGCCGTTTCCCAGTGTCTTTCATGCTAATTACTTTGTCCCAAAAGGTGTTAACTCTACTTGATCAATGCAAATTTCAATTGTTAATTTCTGTCTCAATTTCGGGGGATGATTGTCTTGGTCTTAAGGTATTTAAGTGAAAACTACAAGAAGATCAGGGCGATTCTGCAGTCAGAATGAGCCCATAGTATGAAGTGTGTCCAGTTTGATTTTACTTTCCTTAGTTTGTGCTTAAACTAATAATAACTTTGCGTGCTGAAAAGACCGAACATGCAAGAAACCTTCAGCCATCACTGGATACCTTCCTTGGGCCAAGTGCGTGGTCCTTACAAAGTAATTACACAGTGGAAAATAAGTTATGAAGCAGTTGGTCTTTTCCAAACAATGGAAGTGGATGAGGACTGGAGATGTCGAGCTCCAAAACTGACAATAAAGCACAATAAAAGTTATCTGTATGACTTATGCACCCCAAGTCTTCTGAAAACATGTATACCTTTGTGTGAGGAATGGAATTTTGTAGGGATGCACGATATATCGGCCACCATATCGGTATCGGCCGATAAATGCTCATTTTTTATCTTATCGGTATCGGTCTGATAAGAAAATTTGGCCGATATCTTAAAGCCGATAAATAATGCATTATTTCCTTCAGAGACACTTCAGATGCGCGCTGTTCGTTTGCAGCCTTTTGTGCAATTGTACGTTGTAATATTGTGTTTATTTGATGTATATCTGATTTATCTCATATAGAATGCGTTTGGTTAAGTTAAAAGAGCGCTTCAGTTTACCGGTGATCATCTTTAGCTCAGCACACGCAGCTCAAACAGCAGTGCACAACATTAATAACTATGATTGGGAATGTCGTGTATATAACATTCTAATGAGAACATTATTATAATAAAACGTTGTGAATTCTTTGGGTTTAGTTGCCGTGTTTCAGCGCGTTGTTATGGGAAGAGCGCATCCACAACAGGATCACACATTCTGACTATAGCATGCAATAACTGCGTCATTTGTCATTTCATATATAAGTTGTAATATTATGTTTATGTTGTATTAATATTAATCTCAGGATGCATTTCCTTGAGTTAAATAAGCTGCCAGCAAAACGCTTCAGTTTACCGTGTTCATTCAGCTCTTCAGCTTCAGCTTGAGCTGCAGCTCAATGGCTGCTATTTAAAACAGTGGTATTAATTTGTTACTTTTTCAAAATCATTGATATATTATTAATAACAACAACCACTTGTATTTTTCTCTTATTATTTTCATCAACAATATGGTTTAGTAATTAAAATCATTTAATTATTGTCCGTGCAGAGGCTATTCTGTTTTATTGATCTGTGGCGCATTCATTTTGATTCTTTACATGTGTAATGATGTCCAGTGACTTGTTTGCATTATTTATGCATTATTTTATTTATTTGTAAGACTTTTTTATGACTAAATTTGGTAATGGGAGAGTAAAAATATTTTTAAAACGTACACCGTTCAAACTAGGCTGCTTATGTTGAAGTGTTTGGGATGTGGCTTTTAATGATGAGACCTTTTTTGTAATCAGGCTCTCAAAAAGTATATAACAATTTGGATATAGATTTATCGGCCAACATATCGGTTATCGGCTTTCAAAAATAAAGAATAATCGGTTATCGGTATCGGCCAAAATTTTCATATCGGTGCATCCCTAGAATTTTGTACACATTTTGTAAGGGGGAAAAAACAACAAGAGGTTGAGCCAGTGATTTTTTTGGTCTACTGTGCCTAGAAGAAAATTTTTTTATTTTATTTATTGCTACATCTTGTTAGTTTCAGTGCAGGAAACGCAAGTGTTAAACGTCTAATAGATTTGACAACACCTGCCGTACAGCAGAGCCCTCCCCTCTGCAGCATGCGCTTGAATGAAAGCAGTGCGTTTCTCTTTAAATGCGGAGCTCCGTCCCATTGCCTTGTCACTTTGTGTTGCCATGGTGCTCTCCCCTGCACTGTGCAGGGCCTGTTGTCATAGGGACCGCCTGAGTGACAGCTGGGCCCTGGAGCTTTAGCCTGCTTAAGAGGCCTTGCTGCCACGTAGCTTTACGTCCGTCTGGGTTTTAGTGTCTTTCGGGCGTCCTTACGCCTGTCTGCATACGCAGATTTATTCCACAAGGCTATAACAAGCTTTAGTAAAGATCTCTGCCACTAAATGGGAAACGCCACATACAGAAAATAAATGTTACGTTGTTTATCTCTGGGTGGTCTTATGTGGTGGTTTCCACATCGCCAGATCTCGTCCGAGCGTGACATGTCTCCTACGTGGTTTTTTGCTTGTTCCTGACATTACTTCTCAGTCAGGGTCAGCCCACCCCGGGCCTGCGGCAAAGGTTGTCATGGTTACCAGGCATTGTGCATCACTGTGATGTCAACAGACAGTCCGTTAAAATGCCATTGGACCTGAAACGGCTGCTGTAATCCCTCTAAACCTCATCTAGCCCTAGACGGACACTGCTTTGTGCTTCGAGTGGTTTACGCTAAAATGACGCGTGTAACCTTGTGTCTTTTCATGTCTATGGATGTAATGGCAACCCTCTACTCACACCATGGCAATATAAGTAAATTTTTTAGTTTACTCGCCAGACTGATATACACACACACATACATGCATATATGTTCGTGTATATATAGTATATTAGGGATGGGAAGATTCCCAGATTCGCTCGGTGCATTGGCATAAAAAGTTAACGATGCGATGCATCAGTTTAAAAAGTGTGCATTGGCTACAAGTTGGCATTTATATCACGATGCATCATTTCTAACATATTTGCATCGGTAAAAACCGATTTATTTATATATAATTACTTGTGGATGTGCTATACTTTTATTATTTAGAAAGTGACCACTAATCTGTCACCAATATTTTATATGTAGATTGCTTTCTCCTCTCTGTTTATCAAGCACGCTCTCTCATCACTGCTGCTGCTGCGGGAATATGACGCATCACAACACCACGGAGACCCGAGGAAAAACTGGGATTAAAGTCCAAAACCTGACTTGAAATAACCTAACAAATCAGTCTGGGCTAAAGCGGTTCCATTAACGACAAATTAAATTCACGCAATCTCACTCATTTGTGCACACTTATTCTTAAGCAGATCTTAATGTTGATCATGGATCAAATCGATCCACCATGGCAAACAGCGAATATATCTGTGCTGTTTAATGCATTTGAGACATTGTGTTTTCCTCAGTGCATAACTGACATGTCACAGGTATATTTTTCATCTGTAAATGTTAGAAAGTCATGCAAACATATCAATTTTGCTGTCAGGAGGGGGTGAGGCACTCGAGCGCATCTGCGCGCATGCACGCTAAACAGACAGAGCTCAATCGAATAGGAGCGCAATAATTCTGAGTAAAATATACATTTTGCTAAAAAGCTTTTGAACATTAAATGTGTCTTTTGTAGAATTTTAAACCTATATATAAAGTGTATTTTTATGATAGCAGTAACCGTAAGTGGACTATTGTTAAAGGTAAGCTAGTAGGCTACAGTACTAATTAGTACTGATACAGTACTGATTTAAAGAGCAATCTTGTTCTAATGTTCTGCTATCTGTTCTGCAAACTATAAAAGGTACAGCTGTATTACAACCAAAGAGAAAGGCAGCATTGCTAGAAACTGTTTAAAAAAAAAAAAGAAAAGGTCAAATAATAGTATGTGAGACTGTGGTAATATCATAACATAATGTCGGTCTGTAGAGGAGCTTAGCTTAGCCTGGCAGTTAGCCTACTTTAGACCAGGTTAGTTTCCCAGCATAAGTTGCCACAGTGACTAAGCTTGGTCTAGGCCTATGTTAAATTTGCTTTATGGAACCAAATCATTTGACAATAAGTCAGACTAACTGAAATAAGCCTGGCTTATTTGGTTAACTTGTTTTATGAAACAGGCCTCGAGGCAGTAAAAGTGATCATATTTTCTCCATTGCGTCATATTGCATCGAATCGCATTG